CGACTTCTAGCGACTTTTAGGACAGCCAATAGCGATTTTCCTTACTGAGGAGTTGGCAACACTGATTCCAGTTCCCAACAATGGCTACTACTACTGCAGCTACTTAGCTTTAATATTACTCTTATTACTCCTTCTGGGTCGAAAATAAACTTTTAACATATTTTCAGGCGAGAATGTAACTGTGTGAACTTCAAATACCTGAGCCGGTGAGAACTGCGGACTCCCGGCACATCGTTTTCAAACCCCCGCGATCTTTGGATACTCAGGTTAAACATGATATATAATGTTATTGTTGGGCTTTTTCCAGTGTTTTGTTTGTTCGTGAGTAAATCGTTTGGCTGAGATTAAAGTTATTAGATTAGATTAAACTTTATTAATGTGGTTTTCACACAGCTGAATAAACGTCAAACAGAAAACTGATTAAACAGAAGTGATTTGGTCCGGTTATATTTAGATAGCAGGGAGCAGACGGCAGAGTTTCACTCCACCGAGAGAGTGGTGACGTAGCTCTGAGGGCTAGACCGTCACAGTCGCTCACTTCCAGCCTACCCGGCTTTCAGAGGACCCGGCCCACTTAGACCACGAAGGTGGGTGCAGCCCGTTTGGACAGCCCCGGCTGGGGGACAGTAATCACGGTCACATTTAACTTACTTTAAATAGATCATTTTAAACAAATAAACACTGTAAAATTGTGTGTGTGTGTGTGTGTGTGTGTGTGTGTGTGTGTGTGTGTGTGTGTGTGTGTGTGATGGTGGCATGAATTGTGTCATGACATTAACCTGCTGTGATTTGACCCATTTCCACTCGCTAACAGACACACACCTTGTTCCCATAGCGACAAAGTGAAATAAATGAGGACAGTGGGTCAGCTCGCTGACACACACACACACACACACACACACACACACACACACACACACCTGCACATAGAGGGCCTGCACTGTGTGAATCTGTGTGAGCTGCAAACGTGTTTCCTGTGTGGGTCCTTTGAGACTCGTCTGTTTACAGTAAACCTCCTGAAGCGGTTAAAGGAACACGCTCGTCCTGATTGGCCGATCAGACGGCAGCTCAGAGGGCGAGGGCTTAACGAGCAGCTGATTGATCGTTAAATTAAATCTGAATCAAAGTTTGAGATAAACTTGAAATAAAGTCTGAAGTTCTCAGAATAAATCAGGTCATAAAAAAGTTCAATTAAACACAAAGTTCCTCTTTGATGTCCACACAACCATTTCCTGTCAGAGCTGCGGGTGGGCGGAGCTGCTAGGCCTCATTAGCACATTAGCACCTGGAGAAGCACGCACATCCATATTCATGAGTCCAGGCGTCCATCACACTCTCAGGGTAATTAGCTGCTCTCGTTAGCCTCTCTGATGCTAATCTGGGGACGAACTCGTCCAAACAAACAACAACAACAAAGAGTTTGATCTCTTAACAAGCTGCTGCGCATAACGAGCTTAACGAGTCCTGTAAAGATGAGGGACGCTTAATGAGATCAACAAAGAAACAAGCTGCTATCACACACAGCTCAGAGCAGGTCTGACGACTAGTGG